GGGTCCACCAAAAGCGTTTCCCCTTAATTCTGTCTTTCTATTCCTGGTGATGGTATTTTAATTGAAACGCCACAGAAGAGAGATAATTGAATGCACATTCTCCCCCTCCCAGCAGTTGTGGCGTGTTGAAAACCCTCAATTCTGTCCTTTGAAGGGAACCAGAGGCCAGAGCCTCCCAGAGCTTCCCTCTCCCACGGGGTCTCACGGCAGGTCACGACCTCCTGGGACAGAAACCTTCACTCTGTTGCTTTTCTCTTTATTTTTTCCCTTATTTATATTTCTTCTTATTTTAGTGAAGCAAAATTGTTTTATTTAGAGAAACATGAGGTGAGGGGAGAGAGAGAGAGAGAAAAATACAAGCTCAAGAGAGGAAAAAGCAGAGAATGGCTTTGGGAGAAGGTTCTAGACAATTTCTCCAAATTGCCGTGGCCTGGAGTTTTCTCCATACATGAAAATTAACCTGGGTGTTGTTGCAGGGAAAGCCTTAAACTCTTTTTTGTTCTTTTTTTTTTTGCTTTTCAGTTAAACTTTTCTTTCTCTTATTTATTTGGGGGTGGGGCATACCTGGCAATGTTCAGGGGTTACTCATGGCTCTGCACTCAGGAATTACTCCTGACGGTGCTTGGAGGACCATTTGGGATGCCGAGGATCAAACCCAGGTTGGCTGTGTACGAGGCAAGTGCCCCACCCACTGTTCTATGGCCCAGGCCCCAAACGCTTGCTGGTCCTTTCATCTTCCTTCCTTCCTTCCTTCCTTCCTTCCTTCCTTCCTTCCTTCCTTCCTTCCTCCCTCCCTCCCTCCCTCCCTCCCTCCCTCCCTTCCTTCCTTCCTTCCTTCCTTCCTTCTTGTGGGGCCAAATCTGGCGGTGCTCAGGACTTACACCAGTGTACCTGGCTCTGCACTCAGGAATCGCACCTGGTGGTGCTCAGGTGACCAAACAGGGTGCTGGGGATCGAGCTTGGGTCAGCCATGTGCAAGGCAATGCCCGCCCTGCTGTACTGTTCCACAGTTCATTCACAGAATCACTTCCAAGGATTTAGTTTGCTCTTGGCGCCCTATTGGACTGAGACCACTTTTTCCATGGAAGGTGCTGGAACTTGAACAGAGTTCGGCCCTAGGGTGCCACGACATGGTGCCTCGTCTTGCTTGTGACTGTGACTTCCAGAGCCTTTGCTCTCTGAGGGAGCTACTCTTGGCTATTCTGGGCGGGCTTGGAATGCAGACCCCATGGCTGTGCAGACCCCCGGAAGCAGAATCCCGTCTTCCCACTTCCTGGAAAGAGCCCTAGGATGTTTTTGGGAAGACTTTTGATTACAGTTTTAATTTCCTTGATGTTAATAGGTTTTTTCAGGTACTCTAGATCTTCTTGATTCAGTTTTGGGAGATGATAGGAATCCAGGAGTTTATCCATTTCTTCTAGGTTCTCTTGTTTCGTGGCATACAGACTTTCCAAGTAGCCTCTGATGATCTTTTGAATTTCTTTGCTTTCTGTTGTGATATCCCCCTTCTCATTTCTGATTCAGTTTATTAGGAAGAGCACTAGGATGGAAGGAAGGTTTTAAGTGAACCTTGGAGGCCCCTCTCTGGGAAACAGGTTAAAATAGAAGAAAACGGGGAGCAGGGGCCGGATGGTCCGGGTTACTCAGCCAGAGCTGCCTGCCGGGAGTCTTCCTCTGGGCTGGGAGCAGGAACTGACACATGCGTTCCAGACTGGAAACCTGCAGCGGGAGCAGCTGAGTCAGCCCCGGGGAGGCCCACGCGGCGGAGGAGCCTGGCCAGCCCACAGAGGTGGCCGCGTCCTCGGCTTGTCTCGAAGCAGTCAAGATGGAAAGCTGGGGACTGGAGATCAAATGGCTGAATTCAGGGAAGACTTTATTTAGGAAAAGGGAAAGGGAGGCAGGGGAGGGCCCGGGTGCTGGGAGGGCTCACCTACAGCAGATTCCAGGGAGAGAAAGAGAGCCTTTTTATTTATTTATTTTTTAATTTAATTTTTTAAAATTTTTTTTAAAGTTTTATTGGGTCACCTTGAGATACAGTTACAAACTCGCATGATTGCGTTTTAGTGACACAGTGCTCGAGCACCCATCCCTCCACCAGTGCACATTTTCTACCACCATTGTTTTTTTTTTTCCTTTTTTTGGGTCACACCCAGCAATGCTCAGGGATTACTCCTGGCTCTGCGCCTAGGAATTACTCCTGGTGGTGCTCAGGGAACCATATGGGATGCTAGGAATCGAACCCATGTCGGCCGCGTGCAAGGCAAATGCCCTACCCGCTGTACTATAGCTTCAGCCCTTCCACCACTATTGTTCCCAGTATCCCACCCGCCACCCCCACCCCATCCCACACTCCCTGCCTCTGTGGGAGGTACAGTCCTTCTCGCTCTCTCATTTGGGGCATTATGATTTGCAATAAAGATCCTAAGAGGTCATCGTGTTTGGTCCTTGATCTACTTTCAGCACGCTCTCCCATCCCGGGCGATCCCTCCAATCATTTACTTAGTGGTTCCTTCTCTGAAGAGACCCTTTTTAACAGAGGTGGTGGGTCGCCATTGCTTGAGTAAGTTCTAAGAATGCCCTCTGTTTGAACAGAGAGAGGGCAGAGAGAATTCTCCTCTGTCTGGATCTGCAGGGCCTCTGTCATGCGGATTCTCAGGCACCCCCAGGTTACCCTGTGACCTTCTGTGCAGTGATTCCCTTTCTTTAGGGCCACGCTCCTAATATCTCCCTGATCTTTCCCCATGTCCCTGTCAGTCACATCAGGCTGGTCCTGAGCTTAGAGCTGTGACTGTCGTGTGTATTGAGATTGCCCAAGGAGAGCCCCTCTTTGGGGGACTTGGGGGGCACACCCTGCTATGCTCAAGGCTAACTCCTGGTTCTGTGCTCAAGGATCACTCCTGGTGTGGTTCAAGGGACCATACATGGTGCCGATAATTTGAATTGGGGTTGGCTGTATGCAAGGCAGGCACCTAACCCCTGCCTGGCTCTCAGGCCCCTGAGGAATGGCCATAGTGAGAGGACACAGGAACCGAGAGGGAGGCCAGGGAAAGACAGTGATCTCCAATCTAGCTTGTTAAGCTGTGAAGAAAGCACCAGGTCCTCAGAACCAATCAGTAACCCCCAAACAGGAAACAGTGCGGGGGTCCCAGGATCCCAGCCATCTGGTCAACCTAACAGAGCCTCAGCACCCCCAACCTAGAACTGCATGTAGCCCCCTTTCCCCTGGAGCACTGCACTCATCCACTCAGCAAACTCAGAAATGCAGACAAGATTTAACAACGAACATCTGGCTTGAGGTCCCGCTTCAGGTGCCAGATACGTCAGGGAACATTTTGTTGTTGTTATTGTTTCCATGCGAGGGGGTAGGACATGGCCTTCACCCAGAGGTGCTCAGAGGCCATGGAAATGCCTGGAAATACCTCACACGTGCTAGGTACGTGTGCTGCTGCTTGAACCCCATATCTAACCTTCCATTAACCTTGGCTTTATATTTAAAAAAAAGTCAATGGGGCTGGAGTGATAGCACAGCAGGTAGGGCATTTGCCTTGCATACGGCCAACCCGGGTTCGATTCCCAGCATCCCATATGGTCCCCTGAACACCCCAGGCGTAATTCCTGAGTGCAGAGCCAGGAGTAACCCCATGTACATCATAGGATGTGACCCAAAAAGAAAAAAAATCCAAATTCAGTGACTGAAACAGCAACTATATTTACTTGTGATTGTTGGCAGGTTGACCAAACTGACCGGTGGCCATGGTTGGTCCAATGTGGTTCTCTTGAGTCTGAGCTGACTCTCCGGCTCAGGCTACCTTCCAAGAGCCGTAGATGGTCTCTGATGCCCTTGCCCGTGTGTGTGCTGATTGCAGGCTGGTTGTTGGACAAGGCCTCGGTCGGGTACTGGCTTCCGTTCCAGGTGGTCCCATGCTCCATCCGTGCAGCCAATGGCCTGGAAGCAGCAGGAATGGATGAGCTTGTGTGGGAGCCTCTTTCTTGGTTTTGGTTTTGGTTTTGGGGGCCACACGTTGCTGGGTGACCATACACGATGCCAGGGATCGAACCTGGGTCGTCAGCCTTTCTGCTGTCCTGTCTCCCCTGCCCTGGTGTGAGAAGTGTTGAGAGCAATTCTCTTTCCAGGGCAAGTCCCAGTTGGAGCAGTGTGCAGACACCCGGGAGAGACCGTCACAGGGGCCAAACAATGCCCGCACTGCCCAGATCTTGTTTTGTCTCTCTTCCCGAGCCTTCAGGGTCAGGACTCAGGGTCAGGGGTAGGCTGCTTCTGAGGTGACCCTGTCTGCCCATCTTAGGGGTGTAACTGAGGTGACCTCAGGACCCCCTCCTGGCAGCTGTCTCTCTCTTGGTTCAGTGAGCGGATGCAGAGGAAAGCTGTGATTCTTGCTGCTTCTGGTCCCCGGGAGGTCCCTCTATGTAGCAGTGATTGGCTCATGGATCCAGGAGGGGATCAAAGACGCTTGTAAGCAGCAGAGGAAAAACATCTTCCCTGCCTGTCCCCAGAGCTGTCCCCATGAGCTGCCTGGTAGTGATGGACATTCTCGTCAGCAATTCAAGCAGAAGGCCAGAGAGTCTTTTTATTGGAAATGGAGGCTGCGGAGTCAGCCTTGGGGGCCCGAAGCAGTGGTCACTTGTCCGTCAGAAGACCTTAGTGCCTGGCTCACTGTGGGTGTCCTGTGGGCCCCCTTCCTCTTGGAGGTCACGTTCGCAAAGTCTGTTCTTCCCCGTCCAGATCTCAGCTAGGAAGCATTATTCCCCCAGCGCGGGCTTCCACAAGTACATTTCAAGGGCACCTTCTTGGGGTGAGGGGGGCTTCCCGGGGGCACAGCCTGCAAACCACAGTGCTGGCTCTGAGCCCCCCCCCCCCATTCCTAAGGACCAGCACTTCCCCGCCAGAGCACCCGGTTAATCGGATTACTCTCAGCCCACCGTTGCGACCATTGCGGGGGCCGCTTCTGCACACATGTTGATTGCCTCCTCTCTGTTTACAGGATGAATTCTTCCCGACTGGAGGCGAAGCCATGAAGGGCAGCTAGAAGGAAGGAGGATGCTTTTCCGCAGTCGCTTCTTGCTGCTGCTGGCCCTGGCTGCCCTGCTGGCCTTCGTGAGCCTCAGCCTGCAGTTCTGTGAGTGCGCCCGGGGGAACAGGAGTGCAGGTGGGGGGCGGTGGCATGGGGAGTGGGCTTCCCCCCCAAATAGAGGATCCCTCCGGGAGAGGAACCAATAGACTTCAGAGAGTCATTTTTTTCCTCCTCCATTAAAATGGTAATCATCACCATGGCCAAAGCCTCTGCCTTTGCTTTCAGAGGTGGTGGTCACACCTGGTGGGTGCTAGGGGCTGACTCCTGGCTCTGTGCTCAGGGATCATTCCTGAGGTGCTGGGAGACTGTACAGTGCTCAGGATTGAACCCGGGACAGCAGCGTGCAAGGCCAGTGCCGTAACCCCTGTACTATCTCTCTGGCTCCAATCTTTTAAATGAGTCTGTTTGTTGGGGGCCACCCCAGTGAGGCTTCCGGGGCTACTGCTGGCACCCCCAACAGTACTTGGCTCTTATGGGGGTTTTGGGGCACAGAACAACGAGAAATGAGATGACAGTTTCTTCTGTGACTGGTGGGAAATGTGGTGGTGGTGATTGTGAGTCACGCCACGAGCCACGGAGCTTTTTTGGGACGTGGCATCTCATGCAAAAGGGCTCGCTGAGCTTCTAGTGTGGTTTGGCCTCTGTACACACCCGGGAACTGGTTATTCATGGAGGGGTTTTCTTGGCTTGTTTCTTCGGACCACACCTGGCGATGCTCGGAATAACTTCTGACTGTATTATGACAGTAACTCCTGACTGTACTCAGGAATTACTCCTGGCGGAGCACAGGGGAGCATATGAGCTGTTGGGGATCCAACCTGGTTCAGTCATGTGCAAGGTAATTGCCGTATCACTGTACTATCGCTCCAGCCCCTGAACTGTTTTTTTTTCTATTTTGATTTTGGGGCCCACACCCAGCAGTGCTCAGGGTTTGCTCCTGGCTCTGTTCTCAGGGATCACTCCTAGTGGGGCTCAGGAGCTTAGATGTGGCATCAGGGATTGAACTTAGGTTGGCCGCGGGCAAGGCACATGCGTCACCGCTGTTCTGTCTCTCTGGCCTTAGAGCGGCAGGGGGTGGGGGGGTTGGATTGCCATGTGGCCCTGTGACCCTCTAGAGCAGCCGCAGAGCAGAGTCGAGGTCTCGGGGCTGGGGCCTCATTATCTGTCCACTGAGCTGTGCGGCTGGAGGGACTGGGGGTGGGGAAGGCGATCAGGTCACCCCGGCAGCTGTCACGTGACAGGGGGTCGTAGGTCAGTTCCAGCCAGTACACCAGCCTCGTGTCCAGCCCAGCCAGACCCGTTCGGGCAGTGGGGCTCAGCAGGGCCCTGAGTCTGTCCATCCTTCTGTTCCATCGAGAATAACTGTCCATGAACACAGCTGAGGCCCCGAGCTGGCCCTGAGCTCCAGCCATGGCCTGCGGTTGGTTGGCATTGTCCTCGGGGGCCAGCCTGTTCTCTGGGGCAGACCCCGCCTCCCCTTGCCGCTGACTCCCGGGCTCCCCTCTCCCCACCCATGCTGCTCTGGGCCCCTTCTTCTCCTTCAGGCGCTCGCCCTGCGGCCCCTCCTCGCACCCCCCCTCTGCCCAGTGCTTCGTCTGTCCCTTTCTGGAACCATCTGTTCTCCGACACGCCCGCTTTCCCTCCTGGACCTGGGACCCTGCAGCGCCCTTCCCTCGCGGGCATTTCAGGAATGTGTGTGAGCTGAGCCAGGCGATGGGGCCCAGGTCGCTGCAGCAAGGCCGGCGGCCGCGCAGGAGCCTGGCTGAGGGGACTTGGCCTTCAGACGCGGGGGCTTGGGGCCACATGTCTGTGGCTCGCCGGCAGCGGTGCCCACACACACGACTGGTGCAGCTGCTGCGCTCTTGCTCCCAGGATGGCAGCTGCTCGCTTCAGCCTTAGGAAAGGACGAGCACGGGGAAGAAGGTGGGCATCGGAAGCTGCAAAGAGAGGCAGCCTATGGCTGGAGGGATTGCAGAGAAGCTCGGCCACTTGCCTGGCATGCGGTCGGCTTGGGTTTGATTCTCGGTGCCACTGATGGTGAACCGAGCTCTGCCAGGAGTGATCCCTGAGTGCAGGGCCAGGAGTATGCCTGAGCACCGCCGGATGTGGTTTTCTCCTCCCCCAAAAGTATCTTTTTTCTTTTGGTTTTTTGGGTCATACCCAGCAACGCTCAGGGGTGACTCCTGGCTCTGCACTCAGGAATTACTCCTGGCGGTGCTCGGGGAACCATACGGGATGCTGGGAATTGAACCTGGGTTGGCCGCGTGCAAGGCAAACACCCTCCCTGCTGTACTATCTCTCCATCCGCCCCCCCCCCCCAAGCATCTTAGCCCCAAACGATGTTAAAACTCTGTCATGGGGGTATTGGAGAGAGGGTAGAGGAGTGAAGTCACTCACCTTGCATGCGGCTTGTCCTGGTTCCATTCCCAGAACCACATACAGTCTCCTGAGTCCCACCCAGAGTGATCTCTGAGCAGAGTCAGGGGTAGGCCCTGAGCACTGCCAGCTGTTGCCCAGAATAAGAGAGATTCTGTCACACGATGCCAGGGAAACAGCTCCAGGCTCAAGGGCACAGGCCAACCCCCGAGTTTGGTCACTCAGGTCCCCAAGCACCTCTGGGTATAGCATCATACTGAAGCGTGGACGCCCAGCTCTCCAGACAATTGCTGAGGTCACTGGTGTAGAGCCCCTTGAACACTGTTTGGGATGCTCCCCCCAAAGACAGACTTTTGGTCGTTTCATTGTTTACAGCTTTCCAGGAAAGTTTCCCCACCGCCCCCTCCCACCCCGTCGGGTCACACTCCCCTCTAGGTCGTTCTCAGAGGCCGTCAGGTCCCGCCGTGGGAATGTGAGTGCTTGTGTGCGCTGTGTTTCTCCGGCATGAGGTTTTCCATCCCGCTGAATCGGCCTGTGTGTTTGGCTTATATAACTCAGCTCAAAGTACCTTCTGTTTGCGGAGAGCCCGTTTCCAGCCATCGTTTTTTAAGGAAAATTTTTCAGGGTACGTGAGCCTGCCTGCCACTGAGGTTTTTTCCTCTTGGAGGCGAAGGGGCTCAGAAAGACGCGAAGGAGATATGGACCCTCTTCCCGCTTTTCTCCTCCTAGGTAAACCGTCGGAAGGGGGTTTCCGCACTTTTCTGTGGAAACGGCCTTGGGCTGTTCTCATGAATGTAGTTGCTTTGTAAGTGGCTAATTTTTATGGGGTAAGATATGGCATGAACTTAGAGAGTTGTCTGCTTGAGTGACCTAGTTGCATTTGTACCTTCAAATAGATGAATTCCGCCCCCACTCTGATTTTGACTAATATTTAAATATCAAATTAGCAAATGTAATTATTTCAGACCGTATATCTGGGGTGGTCATGTTAGAACATGTTTGCTTATGCTTTGGGGAAAACATTGCAGTTTCGTTTTCAGAAACCATCGCGCGGTTTCGTTAAGAGTCTTGTCAGTATAGTTTTGTTTTTCCGACCTATTGAAGAGGAGAAACTCAGAAGTTGGTCTGTAAGTTGACAATGGGGTTGTGTAGAGAAGCATTTCTTCTTCTTGATACAGAAAGTGTGTTTGGGACCCTGCCTGTACTCCTTCAATGCCTCTGTGGTGGCGACTGAGGGTGGAAAGGGAAAAAAAAATGAAAGCAAGATTAGTGCAGCTCAGTTTCTTGAAATACTTCCATTCTAAATAATGCTAAAGATTTGCACTGTGCGAACAGCTGTTATTTTTTTTTGAACAGCTGTTATTAAAAACCATTTCGTGGGCCAGAGAGAGAGAGAGAGAGAGAGAAAGACAGACAGACAGACAGACAGAGACAGACAGACAGACAGACAGAGACAGAGAGAGAGAACTGGGGGTGAAACGTTTGCCTTGTATATACCCAACCTTGCTTTAATCCCTAGCATCACATATGGTCCCCCAAGTACTGCATGGAGTGATCCCTTGGGATAGAGCCAGGGGTCATCCCTGGGCACTACCAAGTGTGGCCCCCAGACAAACAAATAAAAACGGTCGAAAAATCTGTGCAGTGGATCGTGCTTGACTTGCAGACAGCTGACCTGGGCTGATCCTCGGCACCGCAGGTTCCCCAAGTTTCAGCAAAAGTGCTCTCTGGGCGCAGAGCCAGGAGGAAACCCTGAGCACCTCTGGGTGTGACCCCAAAACAAAAATAAGGAAAAGGAGAAGGAGGAATCGGAGGATGAGGTGGCTGAGGAGGAGGAGGAGGAGGAGGAGGAGGAGGAGGAGGAGGAGGAGGAGGAGGAGAAGGAGAAAGAAAACCATTTTACATTTTCAACCCCTTGATGTTATTTAGCTGAGAACACCCTGGAACCCGCTTAAACTTTGGACAAGGCGTAAATGTCTCCCGTCTCTCTGGGGCAGGTCCGTACCCACGGTTCAGGGTGGACACAGAGACTCCTAATGAGCTGCTCCTCTGTGCCCTTGCGGTTCCTGGTTCCTCCCCAGGCCAGCCTCTCACCCACATTCGTGCCTGGAGGTGGAGGGCAGAAGCCCCCAGGGCAGGGGCCAGCTGTGTGCCGGTGGCGGCCACCTCCCAGAGCCTCCACCACTTCCTATTGTGGCTGGAAGGAGTGCTGGGATGGAACCCCAGGCCTCGCACAGCCTAAGCAGATGTGCCACCCTCCTCCCTGCTGTGCCTCAGTTTCTCTGCTATGGAACTGAGTTCTTTGTTACTGCTTTGCAGTGAGAATGGGGACCTGGTGGCATTCCCCCGGAACCTGGCAGAGTGGGCCTCATAAGCCTCTTAAACCACAGAGCCCCGTAGGGGTCATCCACAGGGACCAGGGCACTCGGGCCCCCCCGCTCTTCCTAGGCTTCTATAACCTCAGTTACTTATCGGGGACACCTATGGCATAGATCCTTCCCTGGGATGGGGTGAGACACCCAGTGGTGCTCATGGCTCTCTCCTGGCTCTGTGTTCAGGGGTCAGTCCTGGTGGGGCTTGGGGGACCTTTCATGGGGATTGAACTGGGGTCAGTCACATGCAAGGCAAGCACCTTACCCCTGGGACTATCTCTCCAGGTCATTTTTGTT